CCATAAATATTGACTTCCAGCTTCCTTCCTTATTCCTTCCTAATAACTTGAACATTGACTTTGAGAAATTTTTATCTTTCCAGGTGAAAAAATACAATTTTTGTTTTTCTTAGCTTGTTTTTTCCCTTTCGTTGGGGCTAATTTAAACTTGTTTTTCGCACCGATGCTTTCTAAGTGAGATATTTTTAGGACGAATCGGAATTAAAGATCAGTAGTTGAAAGGCTGCCAAGCGTGCATTACAAATTGAATGATTATACAGTCTCCAACGAGTTCATCTCATTTTCTGGGCTCATTAGCATCCAATTAGTTTCTAAGGCCGTTTTAATTTTTAAAAATTGGCCCTTCAATTTAAACGTCGATTTAGTAGCTCTCAGAGCTTTGTCAAGAAAATCTTTTCTCGGAATTAATTACCAGGTCAGTGAACGTTTTGGCCGAGCTCAGTTAGCGAGGGATGAATTTAATTAGGCTGTCCAGCAGCCAGCAAATTTTTTGGACTCAGTTCAAATGCTAAAATCAGATGGAATTATATTTAGTTGCCAGTTCTGATTTCCAGAGAGTTAACAAGTTTTAATTAAGAAGCAAAAGTTAGAAAACTGGAAATCTTTAACATCTGAGCATTTTTAATAGTAGAGTAAACTTGAGATAGAATTTGTGGGAAATTTAAAAATGAAATGGACATAATTATATCCTTTTATCAGTTGAAAAATAAAGTTCTCTTCCGGAAGATTATTTACTTTTCACTTTATTTTTTTCTTTAAAAAGGTTGTTATCAGCAAAGGTTTGTATTAATATTAAAAAATCGATTCAACCAATATCAGTAAATCATGGGAGCAAATTTCTCGCACTTGCATAAAACTTGAGGTGACAATCACAAAAATTGTAAATAAAAGTAGTCCTTTCTAGCTGAAAAACAAATTTACGAAAAAAAAAATCAAATATATCTAATTGTAAGAATTTGATCTACAGGAAGTGGTTTAGAATAAAAATAATTGCGCTAACAACAAAATGATTAAGCTAAAACGGACCAGATCTCTTCAGAACATAAAAAACTTTAGATTGCCATATTATTTTGAAATTTTGTCGAGTAAATTGATGATTTTAAACTTCAAACCTTTTTGGCACTCTGATGAAAAAATAATAATTTAATCCACTGCAAATTAGATATCGGGGAATCATGATTGATTGTAAATTAAATTTCAGAATTTGTTCATCTGTTTTCCTGGTATGGTTTTGAGATATGTCAGTACGATAAGGGCGGTTTGGTTTCAGGCTCGTTAATCCTAAACTCAAAAGCGAAATTTTACCTTTTAGACAGAATTTTCTGTTATTGAATTCAAGGAAAATGTTAACAACAAGACAGCTTGTCACTTTTGAGCATGAACTTTTGAGGAGAGAGACCTTTGCCGCAAACGCAGCTCTCTCTCCTTTGTTAGCAACCTCGAGTAATTAAATCAATAACGAGTTGGTGGTGGCAAGAGGAGGCGATAGTGAGGCCCGAGTTAGTTGAATGTACGTGCAAATTATAATGAGCAGACAAAGTTGTGTGTTTCCCTAGGTCTGTGCGTTCGTGTCCGACTCGTTTCTGCTCGGCATGAAGTTTCAGACGCCCAACGTCCCTTGTCATCGAATTAAGTTTGGTAAAAACGTGACGCCGTCGGGCAGTTAAGAACAATAAATCAACCCTCAACGCGGAGGAGGATTGTCTGTAATTAGGCCACGGGACGAAATAAACAAGCGCGATTAATATTATGTGACTCAATTATGGCGACCGCCGGTGGCACTTTGATAAGTATGCGCAGCTGATTGCACAGGAGTTTTCTGCATTTCCATGAAACTAGTCATGGTGCATCGATTTCCAATTAGTTCTAATTAGAGAGGCAAACTCTCTGTGTGAGCCGGGCTTAGCCGTCGCGTGGATAAATTTGCATTCAATAGTCGCGTGCACCGAACAAGGACGACGAGGGAGCGAATCAAGCCTAATTGGGGAGCGAGTGCAGCACCAGTTGCGGATATTTCTTCTGCCAGATTAGCCGATCAACTTAATTGCAACTTGATTAGTCGATGGCGAGTTTGCGTCAATGTTATACAATTACGCGAACATTCAATCAGTCACCCGCTAACGTCCGAATGGTTCGTGGTGATTCGCCTGTCACTCACAAAATAATTAGCTTGAGGGTGGTTTCCACATACAAATTACCAAAAGCAGCTAATTCTTACAACAAACAAGGGGAAAAACAGGGGTTAATTTATGCAGCATCTTCATTTCTTACAAAAATTAGCTAAGACTTTGTGAATTTTCTTTTTAATTTATTTATTGCAAATTCCACTTCAGATTATTTTCAAGAATGTCGGAATGATTTTGTTTTATATTTTCCATTGATACCACTGAATCAATAAAAATAATTATTATGAAGCCATAAATAGAGAAATTAATAAAAAAAATTATGTTCATTTACTAATAAAAGTTCTACACCATCTTAATTTCTGTTTTACCTAGACCTATAAAGATCTTACTTAATAAAAAACAAACTTAATTTGTCTCATTGCACAATTCCATCCAAATGTAAATGCAAATGTAGACTAAACAAACAGTAGAGGAAAATTATCATTAAAATTAATAATTTTTTTTGCCAAAGCCACTACTTAAGAGACGTACTAAAGTGCTGAAATATATGGCAAGTATTTATATTTGAAAACCATATTATTTCAGCTCTTCAAAGTTTTCTATTTTTACTCTGTAGGGCTTTACATTCTAGAAACATTTTCAATTAAATCTGCAATACTTTGTTTCCCATAGAGTATTATGTTATTATGAAATATCATCGATTAAACTGTAACAATTCTCATGAATAATTCACTAGTGCATTTAATTAATCCGTATTTAAAATGATTGAAGAGAGTTCTATGAATTTATTAATTATCAAACCATCAGTGGTGTGGTTTATTATCAAGTATTAATGCATCAATTACGACTGTTTTACTGCACATGATTTTCAATTAACTTATTTCGCAGACAGACGAATTACACAAACGTGCATACAGTCTATGCATAATTAACAACGCGACACATTAATCCGTCCAAATTAATGAGTTCATTTTAGAGCACGTGCTGATTGAACGTGGCTTTTCAATTCCCACTTTGCAACTACTCTAATCAAATCTGTCTGAAAACCTCTATTTTGATTGGACGTGCAGTTCTCTACAGGGCCAAATGATCAGCTGATCGGGGGCATCGCGGGTCTCGCGGCGAACGTTTCATCATTTTCAATGAAAGCTACAAACGCGCGCGCACAATTAAACTCAACGGCCGTCATTATGCACGTTACAATGACCGGTGCTCACATACGTCTGTGTATTCATCCGGGGATTATCGCCGCGCATCTCCGCCAATAACGCGGCACACAATGGACACGCGCAAAATGTTTATTTCGGCCGACTTTTATCTCGGCGCGTTTCATTAATTCAATTAGGTGTACGCATTTGTTTTCACGTCAGCACCTCTCTTTTCGCTCCTCGTGTTACGCACACGCCGGCTTTGTTTCCGAAATTTTTCGGCGGTCTCGCGAACAAAAAATCCGCGCGGTCCGCAGCCTCTCTTTTGTCCGTTTTTCGCGGTGATTAAAGTGAAAAATGTCATGCCGTTTTCAATTAACACAAATGAGCATTGATGATTGTTTGGATTGTGTCTCTGTTATGGAAGTATGCAAATTTTGAGCCCCGGCGATCGCGCAAACAAAAAGCTCGTTATTTCACCGGCAATATGCAGAGACATAACTCATGAAAACAACAAGCAATCCGTGCATGCCGGATAAATAAAATGATCTGCGTCTGTATATTTCAGCGCGGATTTTGACTTTTGATTGGTATAAATAGTGGATTTAATTGCAGATTTTGAGTATTGAAAAAAATTTACTGACTGGTTCCAGATTTTGTTTTTTTAAATAAAGGGAAAAAGTTATTTGTAATCCAAATCTTCTGGTTCTAATCAAAAGAATTATCAAAGAAAATGTTAAAGATTTCCAAACAAAAATAAAAGTATGACAAAAATCGTTATTCGTACAAACAATTTTCTTTATTTTACAAAACCAATTCAAATAAAATAAAATTTTGAGCTATGCGCAAACTTTGTTTGAAGAAGTTGGCACTGTTGTCGTAAAAATTTTGTTTTTATTAAAAAAAAAGCCATTTGCTATTTAATAAAAAAAACGAGGAACAGCCCGACTTCTGTATTTCCAATTGCACACTTGTTTGTCAAAATCCACTTTATTAAGATTCTAACTTTTTTATTTAATAATTTAAATTATTTAACAACAAATAATGTTTCGTTAAAATCATATATTAACCTGCAAGTTTTGAATTCCCGAAACCCAAGAATGTAAATGTGAGAATTCTGGCAATTTTTTAAAATAATTTAGTAATAAATCATGAAATTAATATTAATTTGTTAAGGGTTTATTTTTCTCCTATTTAGTAGCCATGAATGAAGACAAATCTTTCTATATCTTGAATTTTATTCCAGCAAGATTAATAATATTCATATTTTCAAATGATGAAACTTGAATCATTTCCATATCTTCAACTTTTAATAAAAATGCAACTGTCAGTTATTCAGATCCAGTTACGGCAGCCTTATTGCATTACCGTCTATAGCTCTCGTCAAATTCAAGAATGTCTGCTTAGAAGTGCGTTTTGGAATAAATAAAAATCTTTTCCTCTCAAACTCGGCAAAAAAGTGAAGAGCGAAAAGTGAACAAACAACTCTCTCGAGAGAGTGGAGGAGCGAATCGCACACATCTCCGGTTGCATCTTTTGCAAACGAGCAAAAATATACGAGTGGCTCTCATTTGAATCGGATAAAATAAAACTTTATAATAGAGTTGTAGCTGCGAGCAAAGAAGAAGAGCCATTATTAGCACCTCATTATTCGCATTTTTACGAGCAGCCGAGTCGCTCGCGGGGCGGTCCGAACATTTGACGAGTGGGCAACAAAACTACTCACCTTAAATTGCAGCGGCGGCGAAAAGAAGTGGCCGAGCAGCACCAACACAAACAAGTCGACTCTCTTGTGCACCGAAAACACTTTACTATCCGGAAAGCATCAAACTTTGACAACTTTCTTCTTCTTCTTCTTCAAATGTTATTTTTTCTGTTTATCAATTATTTATTCTTCCGAAGAGCTGGGACTTCTCGTGGACAGGTAGAGAGGTCGAGACGCAGAGCACCGACTGAGACGCACCGTGCCAGCGAGAGCGCACAACTAACTAACCTGGGCCCGAGCGAGCCGATTTACAAAGGCCGGCCGGCGCACAACGAGTCGCGCCGCCGCCGCCGCGCCGCCGCTCATCGCCCCGCGCGCTGCCAGCAGAGTGGGGGCTCGCGCTTCTGACAAATGCTCGCCGATTTTTTTCACCGTGCTTTTTCGCACAAGCACCTACACTCGATCCGCCGACTTTTCAATCTGGCAGCTGCCGATGTGGGTGCATTTTTGTACGCCTTCTTTTTCCTTGCAGTCTCTCTTTTATCTTCACCCACACGTTCACGATGTAGTCCTGACAACGATCAAAATTCGGAGAATTCATAATAGACTTATAATTGCATTTCTATATAAGATACACGATAAATAAACTGGAAAAATTGTAGATTTCAATGGGTAAGCAGAATGGATTTTTGAATATTTCTTCCAGGGGATGTCAGATCCGCATATATCATTTTTAACAGTGTACCAAATGCAGCAAATTTCACCAAACAGACCAGACATCCCCTGGTATCTTCAAATTTTTCTTTAATTGTTTTTTTTTTTTTTTAAATTAAAACGACATTTTTGTATGAACTTTCAATCCGTGCTTTTATTTTAAGTTCTTTATTATTTTTCGTTTCTTTTTCCTCGTTGTAAAATTTATTTATTCAAAAAAACAAGACGGCTGCTACCAATTTCAATCACGATCTGCGATCCTATTTCATGAGCAAGAAAAATAAAAATAATAAAATCAACTGGTTAGAGCCATCTTTTATTCTTGAATGAAGACAATTCTTACAACGAGGAAAAGCCTGAGTTCTTCATTTCCTTAATAATTTTGAATTATGGTTTTTGCGCTAACATAAATAATAATAAAAGAAAATGCTATCATAATTTTATGGGAAAATGTTATTTTTTAGAATATGATGTAAAAATTTTGACCAATAAACAATAATAATAATAAAAAAATTTAGGAAATCATAATAGGATATTTTGCTTTATAATGGAATTATTTATTTTATGGACTAAATTTTAATTTAAAATCAAAGATCGTAATAATTCAAATGTTTGATTTATTTTAATAAAAAAATTACCTCATGCATGACGACAAAGGTGGTAATTTTAATTGGAAAAAAGCAAAATGTGATGTTTGAAGTGGGTGAAAAATACTTGTATCTCTATTATGAGATAATCCTTTCCGTCATTTAGTAGATCAAAAAATTCAATCTTAATGATTTGTTCAATTTTTATTTTATTTAACAAATAGGAAAACATTAATGAAAGGGAAAATAATGATTACAAATTTCTGTTTTCAAACATTTTAAAACCTGAAACATTTTGATCATCTTAAAACTAAATCTTTGTTCACTTGTTTCTGGCTTTGAGGAGCCTGAATCAGCTATTTCTTGTAAAGGGAAACTTACAAAGGCTTACAACTTATGCTTTTATTACGTTTTTTTACTAATAAGAAAACATTAATCAAAAAAATTATTAATTTTTTTTTCAAATTGACAGTGGAAAATCGAGGGTTGATTCATGGTGATTTGAATTTAAAATCGGCTTTTCTTCTATGGGTAATAATAATAACTGTTAATTACGCTCTGATTCTGAATTATTTTTAGCTTATTTTTCTCAAAATAAATAAATTTTTGAACTCTGGGACTAATAGTCGCTTTACATTTGCATGAGTGGGACTTGGCAAAGCAATGTATAGCCTTAATTAAGCCTTTCTTTCTGTCTCGTCTCTGCAAACTGCGAAGGCACGATTGTGGTTGCCGATTGTATGCAGGTGGAACGCGGCGGCAAAGAAGTTTGTTCTGCAGCCGAGAGCCGCCGCCGCCGCACACCGGTAAAAAATTTATTGGCGCGGTTGGAAACGGAGAGCGCGCGGTGCACACAGAATTTATAACTGCTGTGGGAATATGGTGGTGGGTCTCTTAACTCAATTCTTTGACGTTAAATGGAGTTAAAAAGCTTTCGATTGCCCCGCGCGCAGTATCAGAGCTCGGCGTGTAGCTCGGAGATACTTTTCCTGGCAGCCGGGCTGTCAGGCCCAAATCCTTTTTCTACCTCATCTAATGCGCGCAGTGTATTAACGTCCCAAAGCACTGCCCCCCGCTTTAATTCTCTCAACAATTTCTCTCTTTCTCTCTCTGTGATTGTGACACCTCCGGCGTAAAAGAATAAAAAAAGTGCGACCGGGTCAAATGAAAAGGACAAAGGAATTATCTCTCTGCGCCCTTTTAAGTGCGATTTCCGAAGCTGCTAAATCGCCTTAAGTGTTTTCGGAGAATTAAAACGCCGTTTAATTGGTTTCAAAAGGTTTGGATTAACGCAGATAATTAAAAAGTAATATCAGCAAAAAAAAAAAAATCCAATTGTACACATAAAATTTTAAGCATCGTAGTGTACAAAATCTTAATACATGATGTAAGTAAATACAGATTTTTTAAATGATTGAAATTGTAAAAATGATTTTTAAACCAAAATGATTCAATTTTATTACTCTTATTTAGCTCTTGTCAATTAATTTACCCAATTAAATATTTGAATTCATTAAAAACAATCAGTTTTATTATCAAGTTTAGTTGCAAATCAAATTTATGACACAGCACAAAATAAAATAATAATTATTTGAAATAATTAATTTATTTTAATCCTTTAATAATATTTTTTTTTGTATATCTAAAATTATAATTGTTGTTACGGTGTCGCAGAATTTTTATTTATGTACTAACTTGATGTATGTATTACTTCTTTGTCTCAACTTGACTTACTTAATAATTTCTTGCAGTGTGGTTTCAATTTCTTTGTTTTCCTGACTTGAGAATTATCGAATTGAATAATTTCCAAAGTTTACAAAACTTATCCTGCCTTCCAGAATTCACCAAACACGGATAATCCTTTGTCTTCATTTCAATTAATTCGATGTAATATCTTCCATCTTATTTTGTTTCATTCAAAAACTTTCGCTGGTAAACATAAACTCGAAGTCAACAAGGGTAATTTTGCAATTTGTTCAACTGTTTTCCGCGTGTTGATCTTCAACGTTTTATTTGAACAAAATTTCGGTTGGAAACAGGCAACACTTTATCTCTTCATTTAATGAGAGTGCTTCGTTTGCGTCTTGGCGAAGAGAGAAAGAGGAAGTTTCGGGGAGTTTCTTATGCTCAGCGTTTGTATAATAATATATACCTTTCCACTTTCGGAAACGTATGTTGTTTCAGTAGGAGGGAAGCGAGGCGAATTCGTGTGCTCAGCGTTAAAAAACAAACAATGGGTGGGTTTCTGTTTCGGGGTGGGCAAGAGAGAGCATCTCCAGATGTTGAAAATCAACGGCGCCTTTTTTAACAAACTGGGAAACTTCAAATAAAACCGGTTTTGGTCAAATGTAGAACTGAAATATTAATAACGGTTCGTTGCAAAGTCAATTTTATGATAAATGAGATGTTTTTTAATAATGAAAAGGTTAATTATGTGAAGTGAAAGTGAATGGGGGTATTCCGAAACTTAACAAAATAATTGCGAGTGGTCAAAAAATTCAACATTTTCCTTCCAAGAAATTGTTTTTTTATGTAAAATCGTTGTACCTAATAGAAAAATAGAAACGGTATTTATTTAGGAATAAGTTTTAAAAACTCACGAAAACGATTTGAATGTTAGAAATTGGACTTTTCATAAAGGGGGATGAACTTTGCTAAGAATTAAAATTTTTGTTATTATCAAATTTCTTTTTAAGCAACAAAAATCTGTTCCCAAATATATGTCTCAGCACTGGAACAAGCTGAAGTGTTTCTCATCCTCGCACACCTTATTGGCGTTGCAAATAGAGGGGAATAATTTATATTTGTATTTGCAGGAGTACGTACGTGTGTTTGGCACCCCTTTTATGCACTCGCTCGAGGTGCTAAATATTTCAACAGGGCTGTATACAAGTTGCACGCTCTCGAGCTTCCGCAATGGAATTACGCCGACAAGCCCATCCCTCTTCTTATTTCCAGAGCACGGCGTCGGTCTCTTGGCTGTGATAAATGTAAACACCTTGCAGCCCTTCACTGGCCCCCATTGATATGGGCCCCGTCCCTTTCATCTCTCTCTTCCCGGAATAATTCACTTTCGTCCTTCTTGAACCAACCCTGCCTCGGCGCAGGATGGAATTCACTTCTTCTTCTTCTTTGGATAAGAATGCAAAGTCGACAGGGCGATATTTCATGCGGCGGAATGAGAGGGTGCGAAAAGTAGACTCCGCTGATGGAATCAGGAAATTGGACCTGTTGTTGAAAATTAGGTTTTGGATTTCGGATTGGCAGAGCGAAATTTGAATAGATGCTTATTTACACAGGGAAATTGCATAATGAGTAAAAAATTGTTGAATTACGGCGATGGCAAAATTAAATTATTGTATTATTTAAAAAAAAAATTAAAAATTTATTTAAATTACTTTGTATTTGGATTTTTACAATAAATTGAAAACACTTTTAGTTGAAAAAACTCACAAAATAGTGAAAAACAATCTCTTTTGAATTATTTTTATGTATTTAGAATAAATTTTTAGACCTACAAATACATAATCAGAAAAGTGAATAAATTCACCCATTTACCTTGCCATTTTTGCATTAAAATTGTTGGCGCACTACATATAATTTTTCCATGCGTGAAATGATTGATATCTGATATTAATTTATTAACTTGTAAACTTCGCTTTGCACTCGAATCAAATCAACGGTTGCCTTACGCAATCAGACTGTTTATGAACTTGCACGGTTGATGGCAAGATAGAGGCGCGCAGGCAATTAATTAGCTTGCCTTGCCTACTCTCTCATTCATTGGCTCGACGAGAGTGAGTGAATCGTGTGTGTTTGATATTCTCGCACACATGGACAACATTAATGGAGCCCGGTCTATATTGGCTGCAATCCCTATTACATCGCAGACACCAGCGTTCGTTGTCGCCAAATGGCGCACGCCGTATATCCCCCGAGGTGCATGCATGACTTGGTGCTGCTGATCATGCACTGCTTGGC